ATATATATATATATATATATATATATATATATATTTTATCAATAATACTCAAATCTAAAACTATATATTGCTTAACGGACTTAAACTCGATTCCACTCTGTCTAATGACATGTTGTTACTAATGTTGTATGTTGGAAAAAAAGAATAACATTATAGTCCCTATAATATACAAATTTTAGTCTCTACAAAATGTTTTTGTTGGTTTTAATTCATGAAAAATAAGAACTTTTGATTTTTATCTTTGTTGTTTAACTTTAATCCTTATAATATTTGTCTCTTTGAATTCGTCTAATGTGTTACAAGAACTAAAATTAACTTAGTAAACATATTATAAGAATGATAGTTATGGAATATGTATACTTTTTTATTTAATTTAGGTAATTATTAATATATTTTATATTTCTAAATCTTGTTTTTAATCAAGAGTTAATTTATTTTTGGATTTAATTATTTAAATATTATATATTTTTAATATTTTTCTTTGTTGAGATATAATACAGGAAGAAAATAAGTTGGAAGCTACAAGTCTCAAAAAGAAATCATTCCAAGCTACATAGAAGACTCGCTTCAAGCTAGTGAAATTCATTCAAAGTAACCAACAACTCATTCGATCGCTCTAAGGGAGCTAAGTCAAAGAACAATCCTAAAGAATTATACCAACTCACTTAGAGTGACCTACTTGGGCGTTTTGAGCGAATGAAATTCACTTAGAACCATCATAGGAGCGCTCTGATGAGCAAGCCAGAATAGAGAGCGAGCTTCATTAGAGCATGCATAAGCTCACTTAGATCGAGCTACTTGGGCATTCTAAGTGAGCAAAATTTGTCTAGAGTTACCATAAAAGTGCTTTGAGCGAGTGAAGTCAAATAACATCCTTAGAACCGCACACAAGTTTGCTTAAAGTGAGCCACATGGGCGCTCTGAGCAAGCAAATCTGACCTAAAAGTCCAAAAGAAATTGTTATAAAAATAGGGTCTCTAGGAGATCTCTATATTGCATTCTATCCATTAATATTCTTCTTAGCATAATTCTAGAGCGATTAAAGAGTTCTTATGAGGTTATTCTTGTAATCACAGATCGTTCAAATGTTCCTTTTGTTGTATAATCCTTAGTCATGAGTGACTAAGTCTCAACTGTTGGAGATTGAAGTAGCTACTACAACTATATATGTAATTTTCTATGTGTTGTTCCTTCAATAAAGTCTTTATTCAGTTAATTATTTTATTCTTATGCTTAAAGTTTGTTGTGGTATGATCAACCTCTATATGATTTTATAATTTTTAATCGAGGTTGAAAAATCCTTTTGAAATTATATCCTAGATAAAACGTTGATATTTATTACCAAGAAATTAGGATAAACTTTATCAGTCAACTTTTGGTTCTTGACCCTAATGCAAGATTATTTAACAAAAATTACAAAGGAAATGGGATTTTCCTTAAATAAAATTTTTCTCACCTAAAAAATTAGGTTTAAATCTAATTATAGACTGTCGAATTAACTGTATAATTATAACATTGAATGAAAAATTGAGAGGTTTTACATGAGAAAAGTTAGTGAATAAATTTCTGACTGTTTTCTCATTATATAAATTCAAATTCTTCATAATTTGTTGTTTTATTTTACTTTCACTAAATTTAAATATTTCTTGTTAAAAAATTTCAAATTCTTATTAAATAATCCATTTACTACTAAAACTATATTAAATAATTATAATTTAAGCTCTTGTGGATTTGATAACTTGGACTTCTATCCATTTTCCTACCTAGAACAATTGATATATTAGTCAAATACATAACAAGAACTAATTTAACATCTTAAATATTATATTATAGCACTTAAAGTAAAAAATAAAGACTAATTTTGTATTTTTATTTTTAAAAAATCACTAATTTTCAAGGATAAGCTTATTTCATCGGGTGCAAAATAAAAGACAAAATCATATTTTGGTAAAAAAAAAATAACTCAACCTTATTAAAATTCTTGAAAGTATTGCACTTGTCAAAGTTACATGATGCAACAAATAGCATAAAAAATTTCAAGAATATTATTTTTCAAGTTCTTGAAAATTTTACTACAGTGAAAAAAGAGAAATTGATTTTTGGGTTTTGGTGTACATGGAAGGGGAGAAATGATAAAGTGTGAAATAATGTAGAGTTTATATAGACTTTCCCTTTTAACTTGACTATGCAAATGATTTGTAATCGGAAAAAAAAAATGAGTCACATATTACAACCTTGACTTGTGTTATTTCATCAGTTGGAGTACTAAAGTACAACACATTGATGCTACTATTTTTATTGATTCTGAGCATTACAGTTATGGGGCTTGCATTTGTGATCATGATGACAATTTCTTTTTAGCTTTAACCGGTTAGTATCAAAGTAATATTACATTTTTGGAGGTGGAAACAATGACTTCTTCCAATGCATTGGCATAGATTACATCTATGAATTTCACGCACGTTGTTGAATCTGATTGTTAACAAATTGTTAATGTTATAACATGCAAAAAAAAAATTATGAACAATGAAACTTGCTTTATTTTGAAGAAGTGTGAAGAGATTTTGATTAGAAATTTGAATTATAATGTTAAATTTGTTTGCAGACAAGTCAATCGAATATCGTTCATACTTTAACTAAAGAGTTTACATTTTATGCTACTCTGGAAGTTTATGAATTTATATCCTTTTGTACTGAATCTATTATTATGAATGAACATATATGATTTAATTTGTTAAAAAAAAAAGTATTGCACTATATGTGAAGATAAAATTTGTATTTGAAGATTTTTTAACTTGGATATTTTCTTTACATATGTCGAATAATTATATTAAATTATTAATACATCTATTTTTTAAAATCATTAATACATTTATTTTTTCTTTCATCTCATTTCCACTTTTTTTAATTATTATTTTTTCATATCACTTATCACATATTACATTTTCTCTATCTTCGGTTTTTTTTTTAATCTTTTTATCCTTTCCACCTAAATAGCGTGCTTTTCTAACAGCTTAATTAAAAATTGTGCTATAAAGAATATTTCATACATTTATGGCATGAATTACACAAGTTTAAGGAGGATATGATAGATATTTAAGTGGAGGAGAACAAACTTGCACTTGGGAAAAACATTTCACATTCATATTCCAGTTGAGTTATTCAATCCATGCATAGTAATTCCTACCAACCCATATTCACTTGGACCAACACGTTGATTTGGCAGATTCGCACCACCTCATATTTCATGCGCCACCCTCCTTAGTAGTTAGTTCCCCACCCTATATAAACCACCCTTCCTCACATAATATCTCACACTACTCATTCTCTTTGTTTTATCAAACATCCTCGTTTGTTTTTTGTTATTTGCACTCGTTGCTAAAACAAGAACAATCCACCACATGGCCACCAAGTTTGTTCAGGGACTCACTCTATGTGTCATAGCAACCTCAATGTTCTCAGTGTGCATGGCCAACAAGGACTGGTCCATGCCTTCTAACTACTCTGATTGGTGGTCCAGATTCGGAAACCGTCACCAAAACAAGACACAACAACAACCCAGAAACATCATTGTAGGTGGTTCTGAGCATTGGCACTTCGGTTATAACTACACCAGTTGGGCTTTCAAGAATGGCCCATTTTACCTTAATGACACTCTAGGTCGGTCAATATTTTCTTCATATTTGTCAACACTATGCGTTAAGTATGTACATGATCATATAATTAAATTTAGATATATAGTCAAAATTAAGTCTTCAATTAATTTTCACTGTTTTACTAAATAAGTTCCCATGCATTATTTGATACTCACAAAGATATTGTGTTTAACTTTGTGGTTTAGTGTTCAAGTATGATGCTCCAAATGCTACCAGCTTCCCACATAGCGTGTACCTCTTTCCAAACTTCTGGAGTTTTTTGAATTGTGATGTTAAGAGTGCTAAGATGGTGGCGAATTCCACACAAGGTGTAGGAGAGGGCTTTCATTTCGTGTTAAAGAAGTGGCAGCCTTACTTCTTTGCTTGTGGTGAGAGAAATGGTTTTCATTGCAACAATGGACTCATGAAATTTGCTGTCATGCCAATGCTTCGCCCTTTCGGGCCATGGCCATGAGAAAATTAACTCATACAAGAACCAGACAGCTACTGCTTTTGTTATTATACCTCTTTCATTTTTCCATTATATACTTGCAGCTTATAAAGCTAATTTTATTTTTAATTTTGTTCTATTTATACTTTTCAAGGTACTTAATGTGATGCATTGACAAAATAATGTTATAGGGTGAATAAATGTTGAAGTTTTCTTTTAATGTTTCTTTGGTGTTAACAAATGTAACTTTCTATATACTCCTAGAAAAATAAATAAATTCCTCAGGGTTAACATATGTTTTAGGGCTAACATACGTTAAATTTCTACATATGCATTGAGAGGTTTATTTGTAGGGTTGTGAAATTTTAAATTTATTAGTTTTGACAATAATATTTGGTTCACTATTAATTAAGATATATTCAATCCGTTTTATTTATTTATTGGTATAAAATATTTACCAATTTTATTATAATTGATTTGAAAACCTAACTTGTCATATTTAGTTTTTGTCTTATCTACTAAACTTTTCAATTAAAAATAAAACGGTGAGTGGAAATATTTTCTCCATTTTTTTTAATACATATATATACATTTGGGCTACCAACCTAAAATAATACTAGCGGCATGCTAGAATAAATTCCAGTTTTATATTGTTCAAATATTATAATAGCAATATGCTTCATTTTATACATTAGTTGTATTGATATGATAATATTTTACAAAAACGTATAATTTACACATTGATTCATGCTCTATAAATATCTATATTATCGATTTTAGACATACATTTTCTACAAACTTGGATGGGCCACCAAAATGCCAAAAATCATCCTGAATGCCATGGGCTAGAATTTCCCCTAACGTATTTTGATTTTTGATCCAAAAAAAAAAAAAAACCGTTACGGGGACCATTTTTCAGAGTCAACTCATGAAGTAATCCGACTCACGTATTGGACGGTTATAAAATAAATTGCTGGCTCGTTTTTCATAAATTGTCTTGACCCAAATTTGAAACACAAGTTATAACCATTTCCCCCTTTTTATGTTATAATTATAAATCTTTGAAATTTTGTATTTAATTTTTTAATTCTTTAGATTTACTATATATTATGAACTAATTAATGTGTTGTTGAACTTTTTATATTTACGTTTATAATCTTTTTTTTTTTTTTGTAAATTTGTATTTTCATGTTTTAAATTATGTGAACTAATTGTCTGATTCCCGAGTTAACTCATCTGCAGGAAAATAGTATTGTTTTTTTCTTTCTTGTAGTGACACCTTGACCTCTACTCGTTTTACATTAGCATCGATATTATTGTAAAATATTTTAGCTTTATTTAGTGGTGGTTTCATATTTTATATAAACAAAATATCATATACTAAGTCTCAATAAACATCCTAAAAATGATAATAACTTCTTTTTGGTTTCGGGTATTCTCGACTCAACGAAGCAATCATGCTTAGTAAGGTATAGCCAACGTTAACATCTTCCCTAAAAAAATTTTGAGCATTTAGTGAGAGATAAGTCTCATCTACCAAACCTAACTCTGCTTTGGTATCTTGATGACTTTTCAAAGAGGTCATAGCTTCATGTGATTTGGCTAAATGTACTAGAGCGTGGGAGTTGGCTTGACACAGTAATCTTGTGAAGGGTTTGGAGCGTGAAAGAGTGGCTAAATGTACAATAGTGTGTATGAAATTAATGTTGATGCGTCGCCATCTTTGTTGAGGAACATTCGTATGGGATTGTCATGGTTATTACTTTTTAGAGTTTGCAATTATGGGTTGTTCGTGGTAGGAATAGCTAAAACTTAACTTCATGGCATTGGCACCGTTAACACTCACAGGTGATCGAGCCTTCTATTCACAAGGAAGGTTTTCTCTTTCATAAGATTTCACTTGGAGGGGGATGCATGCAAATCGCAATGTTTAATTATATACGTTAAAAAGTTTAGAGTGAAGGAAGTTTCTTACCATTCTTATGACAGGGCAAAAAAACTCTTAATTTCGAATTTAAATCCATGCTATTGAGGGGAAAATTAACTAGGTCGCTTATTTGATCATCCTTATGATGGTGCAGTGCAATAATTTAGTCTTAAGAGATGTTTTGTCATTATTTATTATGTCAAATGGTGGCTGATTTTCATGACAACAAAGCTAATATATATTGCTTGTGGACAGAGGAACTACCAATTTATATATATTGGTTGTATCTTTTAGCTTAGGCGCTAGTTAAATAAATTTTATTTGAAGATAAAAATTGTTGAAAAATAGCTTTTCATATCACAAAAATGCATATGTTTATTTCAATTATTTAATTACAGCATATAATAAAAAATATTATTACTAAAATTTGTAAATGTTCTCTCAGGAGAGATTGTGTTCTTTGTGTCCTAGTTACTGATAACCGGAAGAGATACTTGTAGAAACATTTTAATGCTTGAATTATAAGAGAGTTTAGGTTAAAAACTGAAATTAGGATTAGAATGATACCTGGTATCCTATATATATATGTCTTGGACCTTATCTCTGGGCTTAGAGATAATGTTGCTTGATTTATACAAGGATATATGGTGGTAGTTATTTGAGATATTGTTCTTGATAATATGATCTTTGGTGCGATCCTGAGATTCTAAGACATGTGGTGCGAAGATCACTATTTCGTCATTGGAGATAATAATTACTTAGAGCTTTATCTTTACGAACCAAAGAGGGTGAGTTAGTGGCCTGCTCGACTCATCCAAGTTGGACACGAGCTCAACTCGATTCGACTCAAGCATCCTTCACTATCCTTGGGCTTCTCAGGCTGATGAAAGCCTCACACTTGTTAGAATTGGCTTTGATGCCCTGTGCATGAAGCCTAAGAATTTTTCACCTTGGACCCCAAAGGTACATTCAAGGTTGAAGCGCATTTTGTACTTTCTTATTTGAGCTAAGATTTCAATGAGGTCGATAACATGGTGCTTGAGTTGCTCAGACTCAACAACCACCTCATCAATGTAGACCTCCATGTTGCGATCAATCTATTCTTGGAAGACTTTGTCCTTCGACCTTCGATATGTCTCCCTTGAATTCTTGAGGTTGAAGGGCATCACTTTGTAGTAGTAGTTGGTGTTATCCATAACGAAAGTTGTTTTCTCCTTATCTACAGGGTACATCATGATTTGGTTATACTTAGAGTATGCATCTAGAAAGTTGAGCAATTGGTGGCTTAAGGCTTCGTCCACGAGGTGATTAATGTTGGGAGTTGGTATGTGTCTTTTAGACAAGTTTTGTTTAGGTCGGTGTAGTCAACACACACTCACCACTTCTTGCTCGCTTTTTTGACCATTACCACAATGGTGAGCCATGTGATGTAGGTGACCTCTCTTGTGAAATCAATGGCTTCTAGTTTTCGTGCTTCCTCTTTGGTCATGTTGCACCTTTCATCAACCAACTTTTGCCTTCTCTAAGCAACAGGCCTGACCTCTCGAAAAATAGAGAACTTATGGCATATGAAGTTTGGATCAATCCTTGGCATGTCAACATTACTCCATGTGAATAGGACGGTGTTGTTAAGGATGGTTCGAGCAATCTCTGTTCAGATTTTGGGAGATAAGTGTTTGCCAATCCTTTTCATTTGAATAGGTTGAGGTTTGGTATGGAGGTATTCTAATTCATCAGTAGATGTTTAGCGGGTATCCCCATGTTTAGACCAAGAATCAAGGTCAGAATCATAGATGGGTAGTAAGCTAATTGATTTTACTGTATAGTTTAATGCCATCACAAGGTACTTGGAGCTGGAGGAAAGTGTTCTAGTACTTGGAGTTTGGATTAATCCTTGGCATGTCAACACTACTCCATGCAAATAGGTCAACATTGTTGATGATGGTCCAAGTAACCTCTATTCAAATTTTAGGAGGTAGGTGCTTGACAATATTTTTCACTTGACCAGGATAAGGTCCGATCTAGAGGTCTTATAATTCATCGATAGGTGTCAGGCGGGTATCCTCATGTTTAGACTAAGAATAAAGGTTAGAATCGGAGATGGGAAATGAGTTGATTGATTCCACTGACAAGGTACTTGGAGCTGGAGGAAAGTGTTCTAATACTTGAAATTTAGATTAACCCTTGGCATGTTAACATTGCTCCATGCGAATAGGTCAACATTGTTGAGGATGGTCTGAGTAATCTCTATTCAAATTTTGGGCAGTAGGTGCTTGCCAATATTTTTCACTTGACTAGGATGAGGTTCGATCTAGAGGTCTTATAATTCATCGGTAGGTGTCAAGCTAGTATCCTCGTGTTTATATCAAGAATCAAGGTTAGAATTAGAGATGGGTGACAAGCTGACTGATTCCACTATATAGTTTGATGCCATCATGGGGTACTTGGAGTTGGAGGAAGCTGTTATAGTATAGAATGTCAATTGACCTCTCTTGGCCAACAAGGAATTTTTATACCTCCTAATTGGCGATCTAGATAGAGTTGACCATGGGGTCATTCTGATTGGAGTCCTTGCCTTAGAAGTCTTCATCTATGAAGGTGATTGGGGGATAGTGATCGAGGCGATCTGCCATGTGTGGTGATCACACTGTTGATGGTCCTGAGGTATCTCTTTCGTGACAACTTAGTGGAACTGCCTCCTTTGTAACCACTAGTTATAGTGTGTATTACCTTTCTAACCATGTTTTCATCACTATTTTTAGGTTTCCCCTCCTCCCTAGGAGGGTTTTGGTCTCACCTATCCCTTTGGCATCGGTAATCCCTTTCTCGACTTCGTGCTCAACCATGGGGATGGTCATCTTGACAATTTTCCTTCTAAACAAATTTTTTGAGGTGGCTTACTTGGATGAGTTCTTTGATTTTGTCCAATGGCAGTGTTTGCTACGATATGCGTCTTTCTAAGGTTGCCTAGGCTTGAAAAGTGTAAGTATTTGAGTGTTGAAGGTTTCCTAAAATACATTGGTGTAAGGGAGATTCAAAGGAGTGTAATTTTTATATGTCGGTGGTTTGGGATGTCGACCATTCTTAAATTTGATGTCATTGTGTGTTTGTAATTGATCGCCCTAGATGACTCGCCCTTAATGTTGGTCAAGGATCAATTCTTGCGCCAAATAACTTTTGTGTTCCTCTATTTGGATAAAGCTAGTGGTGCGAGTTCTCTACTCGTTCATACTAGTGAACTTGTCCTGATATAGGCCTTTGGAGAAAGGTCCTACCTTTAGTGTATTCAGCATAGCA